TTGGTGGTAGCACTTGAATGATTATATATTACAGGATGTTGTAACATATTGTATGTTACATACTATAATGTACTGCAATATACCATAAGATAGGATAATAGAGTCGTTGTGGCCAGTCGTTGGCTTTGCAGGACTTCGTTTTCCATCCAGGGTACCTCGCACTTTGGCCTGGAAAGAGTGGAGAGGCTCGTGGTGGATGTTGGTTGAGCGTCAGTTTACAAGAGAAGCCACATCTAGCCAGGGATGTTGTGAGCTTAGCAAACTTGGCTGCAGGTTGAAGTGACTCTCAGAACTGGCAGCGTCGGAAAGTACACAGCTCTTCTGGAGGTGCCGTGTACGCAAAATTAATAGGTAGTGCATAGTGCACAGGCCCGCGTCATGCAGAAGGAAGAGTGCTATGCACGAATGCTGAGGCTGTTGGCTTCAACTCCTTACATGCGCAGTGTTTGGAAGTTTTTGCATCCGTGCAGCTCCCGTGCCACACTCAGCAATCGATTAGCCGTGCGCCAATGACGATATGTAGGTAGATATCCTGGATGTTCGTATGATGTTTATAAACGCTGGCACTGGCAAAGGTTGGTGCGCATAAACACTCACCACGTACCTTGCCTGCAGTACCAGCTGCCCCACGAGACATGGCAATCTTGGGGGTTCAGCCGAGGCTCACTTTCCGGTAACCTATCTCAGGAGAGTTCTGCCACCAGAATAGAGCAATCGATCATACCTGGGAGACTTGTACAGGACACCGTCGGAGCCCATGGAAGTGGAACTGCGCAACGAGTCAGAGATGCCTGCAAACTTCTCGTGGAAAGTGCCCGTCAAAATGGATGGCTGCTACACAGCGGCAAGATTCCTGCCCCATCATGCAACAGGCAGAGCTCGCATGTAGGCAAGCCTTGGTATTTGAGAAATTGACGTTCCGAGGTTTGGAGGCCCAGATCAATCCATCGCAGGCAGGGCCTGTTTGTCGCACTCGTGTGACTGCTTGCTTGAAGCTGCAAGAGGATTTGTTTTCTTTTAAATCCTTTTTTGTAGATGGGATGCTCGGACAGGTTTGTTTGCACCAGCAAGACTTCAAATATGTTGGACATAAACAGAGCTGCCCACTTCAGCTGAGTTGCGACTAATCATAATCCGTCCCAGGGCTCCATACCTCCCAGAGAGAGCCGAAAGTGTACCATCATCGCGGTGCCGACCAAGATACCAGAGGAGGGTCTGGCACTCACGTGGGAACTCGGCCAAGCGCAGCCTCACCAGCTGTTGCTCAGGTCCTGCTGTTCTGCCATGCCATCTCTTCATCGAAGAGATCTTGCAACCTTTGGAGCTCCTTTCCTGAAGTAAATGGTGCCCGCCCGGCAACCCAAGCTCGGTACAGTACTTAAGGGCACGACCTGACACTCTGCGGAGGCTTCGTGCCACTGCCATTGTGTACGGCTGCGAAGTGGACTATGCCGTGGTAGCTCCCGGGGACCTGCCGCCAGAGATCGAGCTAAAGCCGAGACAGCCTGGGGATTCGCCATGCGACCCTGCAGGCACGTACCTCATCACCAGCGGGAAGGCTCCACGGAAGATGCCCTCCGTAGACTTTGGCGAGCTGCCGTTACAGAGGGCCAAGGTGATGCAGGTTATGCTGTATAATCGGACCGGTATCGCCACGCCATACAGCGCCCCAGACAATATTGAGACCTCAGACCGAAATACAGGACTATATCAGTTCTGTTTGCTTCTAGAGCTCAGGCGTGAAAGTGGACAAGAATCCTGCCTTCGATCCTCTGGTCAAGGGTCGCAAGATTGGTGACTATCTGGATGCTGCTACGCGCATGTATGCTCTGATCAATCAGTCAGGTGGGGGAATTTTCAGTTTCGCAGCGAGCTGCCAACTATTATTATTGATATTATTGTTTTTATTGTTGTTGTTTTTGTTAGTACGTAGTCTTATTACTATCGTCAAGGGTATTCTTGTTTCTGGTTGCTCTCATCGTTACTCCTAGGATTATTGCTACCCTTCTTGTTACTAAGATTATTACCATTACCGCAACGGTAAAACACCAAGTGCCACTTACCATTCCTCTCTTCCTTGCAGGCGGGCAAGAGCCAGAAAATCTAGGCCGGAGAGTGGGAGATGCACCACAGTGGTTAGTTTTATCGGGGGTATATAGGGATTACATACCGTAGGGACTACATGCGCATTATATAGGGATTGCAGAGGGAATACTTGCAACATCTTTAATTTAGCATCAGCCATTCGTGCGTCAGGAGAGACGGTCAAGCAGACCTTTGAGAGTTCTCCACAGCCTGCTGGTGCTGGAAGAGATGACAACGACTCAACAAAGCAGAGCGCCAAATTGTTTTGCCTTGCTGTAAACGATATACAGTGGCTGCGTGTGGGGCCAGGGAGCATGTGCATTCAAATCCTTGTCGGCACAAGGCTTAAGACCAAGAAGTTCAAGAATCTCGTCTGCATGCAGCTGTCCGGGGGAAGTTCCTTGATGCTTTCCTTGCCAGGAGCGCATTGAACAAGACCAAGAAGACTAGCACGAAAAAGAAGAGGTCTGGTCTGGACAGATGCCAGAAGTCGACCTGTCAGCAAACTCATCATGAGCACAGGTGGATTCTGGACGACAAGCACGAACGACAGGCACGCAAGTGATACGCCACACTAACACCTTGATGTTTGTGTGGATCTGACCATGTAACAGGCATTCCGTAGCAGCTTTGGTGCCGACTTTGCCAAGCAGAAGGAGATGAAAGAGCAGGGTCGTGTAGCGGACTTGGAATGCGTCTTCTTGCTGCTATGCTAGCTGCTAGCTGTTGCTAGCGAAAGTTTGTCACGCTGCCATTATGTCATCATGGCAGATGGCGCTTCGGGCTGGCCGCGGGTTTGTTGCCTGGCAGTAAGAGGGCTTCGGTCGGTGATGGAAGCTTGCATACATGGTGCTGTGTCCTTTGTTGCCAAGGCAGTCAAAGTGTCGCCTAGCAGTGATTGGCTGCAGCCATTCAGCATGGCCGTGATCACCGTGACTTCTTTCAGTGACCTTCCTGGCCTCATGGAAGATGACGCTGAGCTTTCGAACTTTTTGCAGCGGTGCTCTGAATGTTTGATCCCTGCAGAATATGTAATTCTTCGAAGATTTCGAAGCTCAGAGCCTGCAAAGGAGCTAATCCTCACCTTGCGAGAGCTTCCCGGGCATGCTGAAGGGGAATCCTTCCGGATACCTCTGCGGTTGCAGTCGTGACTTGGATTGCAAGCCAGGCACAGGAGGTGATCTTAGATACCATGGTCCGGGGTCCCCGCAGATTGACATGAAAGCCTCGGTCTGGCATAGTGCAAGTCCAGCTTGAAAACATGCCAAGTTAAGACCGACAGGCCTCCTTTGCGTTCACTTGTGAAGGAATGAATGGTCTCTCCGAACCGGACTTGCAAGCTGCAAGGTATGGGAACCCACTTTACCTGCCAGATCAGCAAGTCGGTCTCAACACCCTGGCTTCGCCTCCCAGGCTCTTGGACAGTGTTTAGGGTTGAAGGGGTTTTGGGTGGAACCAACTGGCTGGCTTTCCACTCCTTTGGGTTTGAATCATGCCTTGGAAAGGCTTCTATGTGGCGTCACAGTGCCAGCAGAGAAGATGCTGCTGAGACGCTTCAAAGTTGGCAACAACTCTGCTGCCAGGGTGGTTGTCAACTGGAAGGCTGGCTGGATGCCACCTTGTTGTAACATGTAGCTTACAGAGATGTTGCTGCCCAAGAGTTGGCCAGGAGTCTCCCTGATCCTGAGAAATAACCCTTGCAAGCAGAACGCACGGGCCCATTAGGCTCATTAGACTCAGAAGCATCACTTTGGAGATTCCTCTCGTGGAGTCCTGCAGTTTGCCAAAGCGTGTCTGGCAGATCTTCCCCAAGACGAAGCTTGAGAACATGTCCGAAGATCGTGCGATGATTCACGTCGGACTTTGCGGAAGACATCCTGGTGTCAAGGATCCTTTCGTGGAGCCAGAAGTCAAGACGGAGCTTGCAGAAAAGGACTGTTCCTATGTTGTCCGAGCAATGCAGTCTTGCAGTCTTGCTCGCGGCTTTGCACTCCGATGCAGGACGTGCTGAAGCTGAACATTGATGACGGCGATGAACAGGAGGAAGACTTGGATCCTGAAGAGCCCTTCAACTTCAAGATCTGGTCTGAGCAGCCTCCAGAGATCCAAGACCCCTTCTCCTTGCCTGGCAATGAGCTCCCTGTACTCATTGAACCGGAAGAAGCTGTGGCACCACGTCTGCAAGAAGGCCTTGTCAACCTTCTGATGCTTTGGGCCCAAGCTTGAGCACAGGTACCTGAGCATGGGACCGCCAGCTTCACTGTGACGATGACGTGCTTGAAAGCCACGCTCACGGCAGCGAGTAATTACCGATACACTCTGATTGGTGACTGCTACTTGGACTTCTTGTCAAGATGGCAATGTAATTGGTTGTTTCGCTTTGGGAGCATATGGTTTGGAGAAGCGTTTGCAGCCCCATTGTGTGCTTAAACCGTCCTGTCGAAGTATCTCAGTAATATGGCTACAGGCTGTCACTAGATACCCTGCTTGAGTGGCCTAACCGGCCCTGCAATGCCAACGCACTGCTCTTGAGGTCGCTTCACTGCTGATCGTGAAGAGCGCCTGGCTTTTGCAGAGGCCAACCCAGATGAGGAGTATGATGAGCGGCCGCCGCAAACTCCCTACGCATCTTGGTTTGAGCTAGGATTAGGCGCGTGGGCCGCCTGATGGTACTTATTTCTGTGATGGTTTGCCACCTGCAGCTGTTTGAGAACAACTTTCGCAGCTTCCGCTGGACCCTACACTGCCTGCTTACCGTTCACTGCCTGCCAGCCGTCCTTTGTTTCCACATAGGGTTTCACTGTGTTTTCACCCTTGTCCTGTAAGTCAGGTGGCGCTCAGCCAGGATGCACAAGTGCAAGGGCTCCCGGATATCGAGCTCGACGGGAACGCAGTTGTGGACGATGATTCGGACATCGAAGTAGATCCCAAGACCCTGTTGCAGGAGCCGCTGATCGAGGCGGCTTTGGTTGGACTGGGCTATTGGTAGGAGCATTGGGTAGGGATCAACCTCGCTACATGCCCGTAAATTCACATTGTTGCATGACGTCTTTGCTTGAAGGTACCTGCTGGGCTGGAGGTGACGACAACAAAGCGATTCAGGCGCAATCGCGCGGGGCCGCCGCCACCGCAGCCCTTGGCAGTGGAGAGAGTTGCCAAACATCAACTTTTTCTTCATTCGCCGGGTCCCCTTGGGGCTTTGTTCCAAGCTCCTTTTGGGTAGAGGGAAGAGCTCCATAGGCGCATGGCATGTGCGGAGCCGAGTCAAGTAGGAGGGGTAAGGATGTTCAGGCAGGCTTGTCTCAGAGATAGTAAATCCCTTGTTGGGACATGGTACAACACGAGATTCAGCAGAGTAAGTGAGCACCAGGAGCCCCAGTTGGATGTTCTTGCCACGATCGTGATCGATTGCGTGGGTGACTGTGTCTTACCCAGGTTAACAGTGGATAAAAAAGGAAATCCTGCGGTCGAGGAGTTCCCAGCGCAGAACAAAGAGCAGGATGATATTGGCGACGAAAGAGAGCCCCCAGTGTTGAACGCGCCCGTTTTCAAGTTCACCTGGTCCTCAGTGCCGCAAGGTTCGCAGCCAGCAACTGGCCCGTTGCACGGAGGTGCTGTGGGCGGCACTCAGGTCACAGGAGTCACTTCATGCCTGGTGCGCCAAATCAGCTTCTCCAATCACAACGCAGCAAAGATTACTTGCAAGTTCCGTACTGAGGGCCCCTTCAGAATCCAGCTCATACAGCAAGGGGGTGCTCACCCTGTGGTGAATCCGGAAAGCTCGGGGGGAAAGACCAAAAAGAAGGACGAGCAGCCTTCAGACATCCGAAAGCTGTTCGTGTTGGCAAAGTGGGAGACCGTGACATTGCACGTGGTGTTTACACCTGAACAAATACCGCTGCCACAGTGGCAACATTACCTGACCAAACACGAACATGTGTTCAAGGGCGATTTGATTGTGGAGTACCCGCGAGATGCAACAGGCGAGCTTGACACCCACAAGGACTTGCTTTTCTCGCAAGGGGGTCTCAGATCAGGATGTGCTAAGATGTGCTGTCCTTAATAATACCTTACTGTGCTTTGCCATGCTTTGCCCACAGGATGACCTGCAGCGAATCCACTTGGTGGGGACCGCCAAGCGCCCAGCAGTCCAAGTCCATGCGGTCCCCAACGAGTTCGACCGCCCCATGCGCCTGGAGCGTGCAGAGCGGCCTCCGTGGTCCGAGCCAATGCCGGTGATCGTAGAGTTTGGCTACACGCACGTCCAAAGCTCCATCACACGGTCCCGTTGCATACTTATCTCCAACATCACAAACACACTGGCAAAATGGAACCTGGTACATGTAGGTCGCAAGAGAAAAGCTTCGCCTGTCATTGGTGCCACGCTCCCAGAAGAGGAGGAGTTCCGTGCCCTGGATGACAAGGATGCCTTTGAGTTTGACATCAGCGCTGGCGAGCTTCCTGGCCCGTCCAAAGACGGCCTGGTGCCTGACTCTGAGGAGCGGCTACCCCACTGGTGCGCAAAAAGCTCAGCATTGCCCCGGGCGCCACCCTTCCCAGATGACGAGCGCTTTGAACCGCAGCGACTCAAAATCTCCTTCAGACCCAAGAAAAACGAGCTCTACAAATGTCGCTTTCGAGTGCAGGTGGAGAATGGTCTCAGCATGGATTTTATTTGCAGAGGTTGTGGCAGCTATGATGAGGAGGATGATAATTTGGATTTCCACGAAGCCTAGTGCGTCTTCGGCAGAATTCAGATCTTGCCCAAGTTATTGCACAAGATAGTCGCAATGAATTTACTTGAAGTCCGGGGTTTTTACGAACATGACAGACTGAATGATGCAGTTCAGACCCAGCCTGCGCACTCAGTTCACCCCGTTTCACTTTCACGGAGCGCGAGGAGTTCACGACAACAGCTGTCGTGCCGCCTCTCCAGCTACTGCGAAACTGCAGGTGCTGCTGTTAAAAGGCCCGCGAGCACGCACTGGCGCATGCTACATACTGGCATATGCTGACCATATGATGCTGGCAATGGGTCCTGTCAACTTCAGCTTGCACGCTGCGGGCCCATGTCTCACCGCGCTCACCATGAAAAGGTTTCACCCAGGCGTCCAAGTCTGAAAGTAATTCGCAGAATGCTAAAAAGTTCTTTCAAGCTTGCACCCAACCAGTTTGTTGATGAATGCTCCGTCTTCAATTGATGGACTCACGTCTTGCGCAGCCTACGTGAACAGGCACGCTACCCTGCGCATTGAGGATGCTCAACGCTCTCTGCAGAATCTGGCTTCAGCGAGAGTGTAAGGGCATGGCCGTGCAGGCTGTGTTGGAGAAGCAGGCTGAGCACCGGGAAGCGGCAGATGCAGCTTCCCACAGATGGTTCCTACGAAGGGGAGCTGGCCAGCAGCATCCTTCTTGAAGAGGGAGATGCGCCCAGCAGACCAGAGCTACCGGGACTCAGAAACCCTCTGCTCGAGCCGTGCCCACCGTTTTTCACCAGCGGTTTAGGTGGCTTGGACGAAGGCAGAGGCAGAGCGCCTTACCAAAGGATTGAAGAGCCCCCCCACAGAACTCCAACCAGGACGCCCTCGCCGGTGTATCAGTACGGCGGCGGGGTTATCAAAAGTTTTGGTGAAGCTGATGGCATAGGACTCCCTCCGGCCAAGAGTGCTCCAGCACCACTGGGCACGCCGCAGAGGATACCAGAAGGCAGTGCCCCGGCCCCAGGTCCCAGCGGATCTTCTGGCGGATTCTCGTCCTATGCTCCGATGCAGACTTTGTGGCAGGGCTTGAACCAGCCCCCGCAGTACTACAACATGCTAGTTGGCAATCCAGCTGCGCCAGGTCAACCTTCGGCGCCAGCGAGACCATCAGAACCATCCAGCAAGTCCGTAACACAGGTACCTCAGGTACCTGTTGATGCGAACATGCTGTCCATGATGATGATGCAGGCGCAACAGCAGCAACAGCAGCAACCAACACAACCGCAACCACCCCAACAGCAACCTCAGCCACTGCAGCCGCAACAATCGGCACCGCAGCCTGCGGCACCTGGACCCGGTCCGAATGCATTCGCGCCAATTGCGCCGCTGATGCCTTCTGGACCTTCAACTTCCCCTCCATCTGCTCCTCCACCTGCACCACCGGTGCCAAGGAAGCCAGAGCGGCCAGAGCGCGAGTCCAAGGAAAATGTCTTGAGCCCCAGCCAAGCCCTACCTCCTGGACCCCAGCCGCCAAGACCACAACCCGTCGCCCCAGAACTGAAGAAAGCTAAAGGACGAAGAGACAAGGAGCCTAAGCACGCTCCGCAGCCCCAGCAGCATGAACCCGGCGCCATTGCACCAGGGTCAGCCAGCCTGAACAGGGCTTCAGACAAAGGAGGCACGGCATGTGCAAGCATCAGCAAGTCAGCAAGCCACGTTGACCTCCCTGGCCCTGAGGCGGTAAAGGCGATCGACGAAGGCGGAGTGCGGGACACGTTGAGGCAACTCAACGAGCAGAGCTTTGACCTCTTGAAAGGGGTGTCAGGGAGTTTTCCCTTACATAATAACATCAAGTTGACAAAGCCGATTCTCCAGGTGCCTGGAGACGATCGAGCTGCGAGCAAGCTGAGACCGCAGGCCACGAGCCCGCTCATTGAGCATTTGAAGGCCTTCTGGGGGGGGTGAAGGGTTCGCCAAGGGGTTCCATTTTTCTCTTCCATTATCCCTATGTATCCCCTTTAAAAGGTACGATTAATTTCGGGAAACCCCTTTGATTGTCTGACAGGCACGAGAACGGCTTGTCGATCTTGCTGAGCTCGCCGGGCATATCAGCGAGATCGCCCAAGACCAGTATGGCTCCAGGCCAGCCGCAGCCTGCCAGGTCCTATTACCATCATTTTTGTTACTATTACTATTCCTAATTCTTCTTTTCGTCATCATTATTTTCATTACGATTGTTGTTTTATTACTCTTATCAGTACTATTATTTACTAGTACTAGTATTACTATTATCATCACTGGTATTCTTCTTAATGTGGTACAATCAATAAGAGTGGACGTCTGCACAAGGCTGCAGCAAGAGAGCGACTGCCTGCTCTTTGCAAGGCTGATACAGCAGAAGCTGGAAGTGGCAAATGAGGAGCAAAAGCAATTGGCCTTCAAGCAGGTGCTTCAGAAGATCCTTGCTTGCATTCTAGGAGGTATGCTCACTAAAGCCAGGCAACACTGCTTTTGCCAAGCTGCCCTGTCTCCTAAGGATGTCGCAGCTGACAACAGACGTTTTCGGCAATTATGTCATACAGAAATTCTTTGAGTCCCCCGGCAGCTGTTTTGTTTGCCTCTGCCTGAACTCTGCAAAATAACAAAAGATACTACAAGTAATAGTAGTAATACTAATCATCATAATGATGATAGCAGTGCTGGCTGGCACAGGTGAGTTTGGCTTGTTGTGCTCGAGAGTTTGCTGCAGGTATGGGACCTCTGAACAGAGAAGAATCCTTGCGGAGCAGCTGGTTGGGCAAGTCTTGAAGCTCTCGCTTCAGATGTACGGGTGGCTTAGCCAGAAATGATGACTGAGTGGGGGAGTGAATATGAGGACTATTATAGCTATATATACATATATATAGGGATTATTCCAAAGATTCACTCCCCCACTCGCCCTTAAGCACCAGTAGGGAGTTTGTTTCTGCTGCTGGCTCTGGGCTCTGGGCTCTGACAGGTGCCGGGTAGTGCAGAAGGCCAGCATGAAGTGCAAGCAGCTCCAGTTCTGATTGATAGTAGTAGTAATAATGGTGATGATGCTTATTCGTCAAAAGTCGTAGTAATGATGATAGTAAGAAAACTAGTATTAACAACATAAATTGCATTAATAGTAGTCATAGTAGCAATACTAATACTAGAAATACAAAGTCCTGCAAGTCATTCAATCCAAGCTGCCGCCATGCGCAGGCACTGGATTCGGTTCCGATCGAGCAGCAGGTTCTCCTCATTGGTGAGTTGAAGGGTCATGCCACCGTGCTGCGCTATTCGTATTATTTCTAATATTCTTACTAGTAATATTAGTAATTAGTATTATCAGCACTATTATTATTAATGCAATGCCTTCCTGAATAGGCTGGGTGTTTGATAGGACCAGCCTCCACCGAACTCCCAGGTGATCAAGTGCATTGAGGATCAGCATGGCAATCATGTTATCCAGAAATGCCGCTTGTCCATTGAGTAGTTATCCATCGATCTTGCCTGTGCTTTGCAGATGGTTGAGATGAGGCATTGAACGCCTTCCAACTGACCGGATCGGTTTCATTGTTGATTCTTTTGCTGGCTTGATGCTTAGCACTGCTTCTTGCTGCCATTGGAGCACAGCTGTTCCAAAAGCAGCTCGAACTGCTTTCAAGGTCAGGCAGCTCGAATGGCTAAGCATTGCTCCACGGCAGCTATTTAGTGTTCTGGACTTGTTGCCTATCACAGCCCAGATGCGCAGGCTATGGCTGCAGAGTTATCCAGCGGCTTATAGAGTATTGTGCTTCGGCCCAGATTTCGGCACTGCTTGACGAGGTGTTGGGTTGCTGTGACTTGGCCTCAACAGGCTTAGCACAATGTCTGGGTACGCATGATGCCAAGAGACATGTCCATGTCTTTCAGCCACCCACTGCACCATGGCGACGACTCCCTTGTTGTGCTCTGTTCAACACAAGACCTTGCTCCCCAAAATTCATCAGGCTGATACAGCCAGGCCCAATTCGTGTAGGTTCTGTGTGGCAGTCGCACCCGAGCTGCTGCTGAATTTTCCTGTGCTGGGGTCCGTTCCATCTTGCCGCGAGAGCATGGAAACAACCACGACAACTGCAACGGAGATGACAGCATGCTGCATCTCACACTACATGCGAAAAGATGGAGGTCCCCAAGACCCGCGTGTGTTAATGCCACATGGGGATCTTCCTTGGCTCCACTTCAAGATATCTCACGTAACGAGATCGTGCCGTCCAAACGAGCAGGGTGAACACTGTGCAGCGTTTGTCAGGCATGGAGCTGGCGACGGACCAGTATGGCAATTACGTTCTTTGGTTTTATGTGCTGAGACTCGATGCACCCTGGTCTTGCCGCGTGTACTGGCAGAGCTTCTTGACGTGTTGCTTGGACTAAGGTTGTGCAACATGTTATGGAGCACAGCAGTCGACCTGGTGATCGACAGCAGGTGATGACGATTGTTCGCAAGAACATTTTGTCACTTTCTTGCCAGAACCTTACTTCACCTAGCTCACAGCACTAAATGTTTCGGAATTCCTTTGGCCGTATTCCTCCCCCCTGCAGCCGAAGGCCACAAATACGCCAGCAATGTCATTGAGAAGGCGTTGCAGTGCGCAACACCGGAGGAAAGATCGCACCTGGTAGAGGCCGCAAGTTGTTGCTGCAGTGATGCTCAGGGTTTCTGCGAGTGAGTTCAATCTTACGGCAGGCAATAACTGGCCAGCAGAGCGATCCACACCCACCACTTCTTGTCATGATGCGAGACAGGCGGCCCGACAAAAAATGCATGAGTCTCCAGCATCTGCAGCATCGCAGTTTCGAGGGCATCCCGTTGACCAGAAGTAGCAGCTCTCATCCGAGGTTTGGCAACTACATAGTTCAGCGCGTGATTGCTTTGGCGCAAAGTCCTCAACGCGATTTGCTATTTTGGAAGCTTCGGGAACACATGCCGGTTCTCAAGAAGTCCAACACGCAGCATGGCAAGGATAGTGGTGAACAGCTTGATGTTGTCCATGCATTATCCTGACATGCCACCACCCAACCTGAGGTACGGCAAACACATTATCTCAGCCCTGGAAAGGGCTCAAACAAGTCCAAAGGACTGACGCTAGCCAGTTCTGGACTCCCTGCTTAGTTGGCGGATGCTGGAAAAAGTGACAGCAGGTTGCTCTAGCACGTCGTGCAAACAAATGCTCGAAGTTGCTGTAAGGGCCCCTGCTTCCAACGGCACTGCTGATTGTCTGTTTTGCAACATTTGAAGTTTGTCAATAAAGGAGTTGCAAGAAGGTCTTGGTGTTGCCGTCGAAACAAAAAACAGACAGCGCATTGGACATAGCTAAGCTGGAGAGGCTCCTTCGACTGCCCAGTCGTTGCAGAGTTCTGCAGCATGCACATATGAGCACAAACAGGTGCTCCAACAGCAAATGCTTTCTGGATTCTAGAGAGCATTTCGGGAGCTTGGTAGCTATGTGGCTACAAGCCAAATTTCAAGTATCGACGAGAAACGTTTTGAGCTCCATGCTTTAGAATGTTCGTTTGCCGCATGTACCAAGTTTCTGAGGAGCGTGGGAGGCTTTGACTTGCCGCTAGATATTAGTTCTCACATCACGCCCGGCATTGCCGGGCAAAGCGCGGAGAATCGGTGCACCGACAAAAGAAGAGAACCTGTGCCATCTCTGCCTGATGCCCAGGTTTCCTGGACTCAAGTATTGATCGATGCTTCCTGTGTGGATCTCTTAAGCCATGTAGCCAAATAGCCAAGGACATGCAAGGACATAAGCCCCCTAAACAGCAAAGGACATCATCATGGAGACCATGTTCTGCAAACGTAATTCAAGCCTTACTAGTCGGCCCATGTAACATGAAGCTCTGGGCACTTCAGCCCTCTAGCACGCCAAGCATGGCATAGTTGATGCCTGCACCTCTGCCGCATCTGCATGGGCACCTTGGCTGAGTGGAGATGATCCATTGGAGCGACAAGAGTCTCCCCATCCTCCTCCACTGAGATTTCCTGCAACCTATTGATGCCTGGAAATCTTGGCTTCCAAGAATCATATCCCAGGCCGGAGTGACAAGATCGCATCCAGCCGCAAGAATGCCAAGAAGGCAACTTGTAGCCAGTGCCAAAGAGTGAAATTGCATACATGCAGTGGGTCACAGTGGATGCATTCACCAGGTTTGCGTCGAGACTTCTCGCAAGAGCACTGCTGTCCAGGTCCATTTCACACACATGGAAATGCAACTCACGATGACAGTGATGACACCCTGAGCCTGCATGTCCGCTTGGCGCAGGCCCCTAAGGCCCCTCCAGCAGTCAGTGCGACAGCGAAAGTCAAGAAGGAACAGACCAAGCAGGCTTCGCTAGTGAGGGTTGCCCATGATCCACAACACTTCGGAATCTTCACGGTAAATCCTCACAGTCATAGCCATCACCGTAGTATGTGTTTCCTGGTAGGCTGCACACCCTCTATCCATGCCAGGCCCAGCCAAAGAGGGGCTTGAAGATGTCCAAGGACAAGGAGCGCCAAGTTGTCGACAGCCTCATCGAGGCTCGGGGACGAGGATTACTGAAAATGTGGTTGCGATTTGAGATTTTGCGTATTGTATTAGACCGGTCCAGAACTGCGAAACTTTCAGCGATTTGTTCATTTGGGCCTTGGGACAATGGGGTGAGTTGGCCCGGAGACGGCTGCGCCGACATCCTACCATGTGCCCTGTTTGTGATGTGCAGACTTCCTCGCACAGCAGGAGATGCTGGCTGCGGCTAGTCCTCAGAGTAGCGGTAAGTGGCAGAACGCTAGTTGCAAATCGAGAGATCACGAATGTTGTTGCACGAGTGGGGTGGCGTGCAGTGGAGGGATGATCGAGACCAAAAGGCCTGATTTTAAGGGGGAGTGGCATCACCTCCGGCCCCAGAGGTTCAAGATCAAACCACTAAGAAATAAATGACAGGCTAGCTCTCTTCAAGCTTTCGGTAGTTCCCGTTTACAGATTCTCTAGGTCTGCGAAGATCTGGCTCCGGGCCAATTCTCAAGGCGCTGAATCAACTGTTGAGGTCTGCGGGGGGACCTTAAGCAAGTTTGGATTTTATTCGAGAGCTGTTGCCTCAACACCTCAGCCCTGCATCTGCATGCACTGCTGCCTCTAGCTTTCGTGGCCCTCGTCTCAAGTGCCCTAGAAAAGCCTTAGGACCAGAGCGCTCCAGAACCTACATGCTGACCAGCCCCGGCTGCCCACTTCTGTAGCTATAAGGCGGCCGTTCTAAGTCCCTCTGCCACCTCCAGGACACAGGCTTAGAGTTCGTGCTGCAATAAGTTTGCCGTGTTTATCCGCGTTACAAACTTGTTGAAATGGCTCCAATAAGGTGGCTTCGTTCCGCAGGGGTACCACCGGTGAAAAAACTCAACTAACTACCGATAGTTAATAAATTGGCCGCGCTCGATGGGAGTACCACTGCGATGAACATGATCCACCAAGAATCTGATTGTGTTCCGTGGGGCTCATCCACCAAAAGTTGACCACGCTCCGTGAAAGCGCCACCACAGCTACCACCGCAGTGAAAATGCTCATCCGCTAAAAGTTGACCGCCTTCCGACGTGCCAGTAGCGCCGCAGTCTGCCCCACAAATAGATTACGACTTGTATGAGTTTGTAGCAGGTGTGATATGAGTGGAAACGATCATGTTGGACAAATATCTAGAGCTTTAAAGGCAGTCTAGGCTGTCGAAGTTGAGCACCTCAATGAGAAGAGGCGTTGCAGGCCTTCTCTAGTTTCCTTGTCCTGGGAATGCCAACCAGCCATGAGACCAAAGTGCGGCTTGCTAGCAGCAACCATTCATAAGGAGGGGGTGTGGCCCCATACCTTGACTCAACGCATGGGGGTTTAGGGTTTAGGGTTTTATATGGATAATGGAAAAGAGAATGGAAATTACTATAATGGGTTATATAAGGATAATGGAAAAGAGAATGGAAACTATTATAATGGGTTATATTGGGGTTATATAGCTGGTTGCTGACACATCTTACCAATTTGTTTGCACCTTGACATGCCTCCACGGAGATGCTGGTACATGTTTGTGTACATATACATATGTGTGTGCATGTGGCAACAACACACACATTCGGACAGGGACCGTATGTATACATTCTTGCACGCATATATACTTCTATCTCTACATGCATATATTCACATATATATATATATATCTCGCGCCACAGGGCGACATCGGGGTGGCGGCCCCAAGGCCAATGCCGCTAAGCGCCTTGACAAAGCACAAGGCAAGGAGTTGAAGAGAGATCAAAAGATCAGAGCGTCAACTGCCCCACAGATGGTTGCTTGGCAGTGGCTCGGCGAATCAGGCCTGTCAAGCATGAGCTAGTTTGTCGACTTCATTTCCTGTTAACAATTCTCAGCTCCAGATGACGGGAAAGCGCATCGCATCAGTTGTATGTTTCGGCAGCTTATTGAACTGCTCCACACAGGCTGGGTTGTTTTGGTAGGGTTCCACCTCCATGTTGGTGGAAGCAGTTGGGAGCATTGGGTAGGCAGCTGAAGTGCTACCTTGTAGTGCGTGTTTTCTGCGGGACAAAACCAGCAACGCACCACCCCTGGCATTGCCAGGCAAGATGCAATATCCCGTTCCCATCGGCTGCACCAAGCCCAGGACCTACTGCTAAGCCATGCATATTGTCTCTATTTGCTTCCGAATCACTTTGTCGCTTTTTGCTGAACATGAACTCACGGCAAGCAGGGCCGGCTTGCGGCAGCAGAAAGTGATTGAGACAGAAAGTCAGTGTGCGCCTAAAAAAACCTTGTGGGGAGCACTTGGGCTTTGGAAACAGTCCCATTGGTCTTTCTCTTTCGCGCTCCCCTGCGTTGCGGCTGGACGTGACGAAGTTCCAACGGTTCCGCCAACCATCTGAGTCCGACTGGGGAATGGTGTCACCAGACAATGGGTCCACCCTGCAAGCCGGGTGGCTTGGGTTGGACTTGGACACTGGGGCATGGGGTGTTCGTACCCAACACCCCGCACATGACTAAAGGCACAGCAGTTCAGCCAACTGTTTTGCGCTTTCCCCGGTTCTAAAATGATCCTTGGCGTGTGGGCAGTGCCTGAAATATTCAATTATTGACGGCATGGCTCAACGAGCAGCTCCAAAAGACAGGCCAAGCACAGGCCTAGTTTCTTGAATCTTCCGCCTTGCTGGAAGACAACATGCAGTACGCTAAAGCTATCCGCAGCCTTGACTGCTTGCCTTGCAAGGATTCATAAGCTTCATCAGGAGAAGGCTTGGGGAAGGATGCAAGGAGCCTTGAATTGAAATGATTTACCCGCGGGCGGGTCCTGTGGAGCAGTAGCTTTCGCGGTGATTGATTGGCCATGTCTTGAAGAAGGTTCACTGTGATTAGTTATTGCCAAGTGACATTGCAGACAGAGTGAGGGGCACGCCGGACTTCGAGCATTGCTCCCGTACTCTCCCTTTAGTGCAGTGCACAGCCTTTGCAAGAAAAAGGCTGGAGTAGAGAGAGGAAGAGGGGTGAGGTTGATGAAGTGGGCTGTCCTGTTTCCCTCGGAGTGCGGGCCTGGGATTGCTGCTCCTTCGGTCCTCTGCAGTACCGACTGAGACTCGTGCGGACGGGGGCGTAGGCCTTCCTGTCGCCTAAAGAAGAAGGGGTGAGGTGAGTATGGGGCAGCGGCGGGGCAGTTCTCGCTGCGCATGCCAATATTATGGTGGCTATATATACACCCAAAACTTTCACATGCTCATGCAGCGCCGAGGCCGCTGTCGCCCTTCAACAGTGAGAATGATTAGCGAGCTCCGCAGGCCAGGCTGAACACCTCACCTTGAGAATGCTATCGTAGCATATCGTGGCATATCGTGGCATGGTGTCGTTTGTTGGAGTTGAGCATTTTAGGGCCATCGTTAAGCTGTGATTCCGCTGTTGCTGCTTCGGGAGACCTTGGCACCTGCCTTTAGTCGGACCTGTATAGTTGGATAAGATTCGACAAGCATCGATAGGAATTGGCAGCACCTCCCGCTGTCGCAGGATACTGACACAGTCTTGTGATGTCTGACTCTTTTTGGGCACTTGCATCCAGGTGTTGTGCTGACTTCGCCTTGAGCTTGCTCAATGTTTGGAAAAAGAAGTGTGCAATGAATCAATGTTAGAGAGGAAGATTGTGCGGCAAGCTTTCATTTGCGCACGGGCAGGCGCCGGCTCCAGTTTGCAGCACACTTGTAGGTAGCAGAAGCAGAGCGGGAATGAGCGGCAACGGTGAGCTCAAGAATGTCCCCACGATAAAGGTTCCGAATGCATTGATCCACTGCCAGGAGCATGACTTTGTTTTTGCCGTCCGCTGAGGCATACAAGAACCCAGACTTTCTGGGCTTACCAACCTCTCGCCATGTCCGGATCATGTGCCTCCGCGGCCTTTCATAATTGCTTCCGTTGCAGCACTGATTGCTGCTGAGGGGTAAGATTCCAATGATCGCGGTATGGAAATTTAGTGACTTCTGGCGAGGCTTCATTTTTCTTTCGCAGGGTCACTTTGACTTTCTCTACAGAGAGAATCCAAGGTGTGAGCTCTATGAGCCGATGCAGCGACTGGACCAGCATAACATCGACAATTACTTTATTATAGTGCCTCGGACGATGACGAGGATTACTCCTACTAGTGTCGCTGCTCCACGTCTTTGGAACCAAAACTGCTGCCACCGACAGCACCACCAACGCTGCCACCGCCGCCGCTATACCGCCGCCCCCCC